GGCAAACTGGAACCATTATCCATTGCTAGTGGAAATGCAAAATAGTACAGCTGCTGTGGAAAACAGTGTAGTGCTTCCTAAAAAAATTATCAAATAGAATTAATTACTATGTTGTTGTTGTTATGTGCCTGACTGATAGCAACCTGACTCACAGCGACCCCCTCCTTGGGTTTCTGAGGCGGTATCACTACAGAAGGAGATTGCCCAACCTTCCTTCCAAAGAGTGACCCAGCAATTCCACTCCTGGGTATGTACCCAAAAGACTTGAAAGCAGAGACTCAAAACAAAAAGAAAGACTTGTACACCAATGTTCATTGCAGCACTAGTCACATAAGCAAAAAGATGGAAACAACCTAACTGCCCATCAACAGATGAAAGGATAAACAAAGCGTGGTACAAACAATGCACAGTAGAAGAAATGAAGTTTTAATACATACTACAGTATGGATAGATTTTTGAAGAGCAAAATAAGCCAAACACAAAAGGATACATGCTGTATGACTTCACTTATTTAAAGACAAGAAAAGGCAAATGTACAGGGACTAAAGTTTATCAGTGGTTTTCAGGGGCAGGAGTTGGAATAGGGGCTTTGACGGCAATGGAAGGGGTCAAGGGTAGAGGTGCACAACTTATTGCAACTGCTGTCAAGAAGCTTTTTGCCTGTAAAAATGTGAATTGGCAAAATTTATAGATTTATCTATCCATGACCAGAAAAAAAAAAAAAAAAAAAAGCAGCTGCTGAGGCTGCAACCAAACACCTCCTGGGATTTGGTTCCTTGGTTTGGAGGTATCAGGTCATGTTTCATGAGAGATCCCAGTCAACTGGCCTAATAACATGTTTAATGCTTCTGTTCTTCCTCCTAGTTTGCTGTGTAGTGCCTGGGGGGCTTAAAACATAGCAAGCAGCCATCCAAGGCACAATAATTGGTCTCTATTCACATGGAGCAATAGAGGAAGGATCGTGAGGAACTGGAGGAGGATATGGACTGTGTGGCTAATTGCTTCCATGAACAACTGCCTCTTTTGCCATTAGATCAGAAGAACTCTATGGTGCCCACTGTCATTACTGAATATTGTAATCAAAGATTCCATAGAAAAATCTGGATCAAAAGGGGAAAATGCAGAACAGTTTCAAATTCTCATGGACACCAGACTTTCTGGAGTCATAGAGATTGGATGAATCCATGAAACTATTACCCTGAGATTATCTTTAAACCATAAACCAAAATTATCCCTGAAGTCATCTTAAAACTGAATAGTTTAGCTTAACAAGAAAAAAATGCCTGCCTTGAGCATCATGCTCTTTTAAGAACTATATTTTTAGTATCAAACTGACAACAGCAATCTGAAAGATTAGATAAGAAACTCAGCAGGCAGTGAGTTTGTTTTTGAGGGAGAAACAACTCAACAGAGGGTGAGAATGGTTGCACAAGCCAAAGAATGTAATCAATGTCACTTAATTGTAACATAGAAACTGTTGAATCGGTGTTATGTTTTGCTGTCTATATTCTCAGCAACAAAATAAATTTAGAGGGGGGAGAAAAAACCTTCAGTGGTGGCACTCATGTAAATCGTCACCCATTCCCTGTATTTTGTAGTTATGTCTATAAATGCACCAACACAGGACTGCAGCATGACCAGGAAAAGTCTCGTGGAAGCTTTTCATGTGGCTTTTACCTTCCTTGGTTCTTTCCAGTTCCACTTTATTTAATGGAAAATTTGAGGGAAAAAAGATATTGACATGCTAGATTCCAGTGGTCTCCTTTTTACACTCCTTTAGATAAGCTGAAATAGAAGAATGGTTGAGATTAAAGACTCCATATATGTTCTGGAATAACAGGCAGCTTTCTAAAGGATTGCGTTACTGAAATGGAAAAAAAAAAAAAAAAAAAGGCACACTGACCTACGTTTCTAGGTCACTCCACTGTCTGGTAGGTTTAAGAGGCTGATTTCTGCCTGACAGTTTTTTTGGGTTTTTCAGGTCAAAGATCTGACCTCACATTAGACACGCTGAACCATTCATCCACAAGGACAGAACTGCCTTAAAACAAAACGAAACAAAACAAAAAATCTCACAAAAATAAGTATTTGTTTAATTACATCCAAACTCTGAAAGTTAGATCATATATTTCCATCAGAAAACAAATGATTTCCCTCAGAGAACAGTTAGTGTGTTTGTGTTCAGGGTCCTGCGTAAACTTTCTCTGTCCTTCACCTTTCCTCCCTCCCTGCTCATAAAGAGGTATCATAAAGTTTCCCAGTGACTGAAACTGACAGGCTGCTCTCCTTAGAAAGCACTGAATTCAAAATTACTCTCTGAAGTACTAGTGATTTAACAGTTCTTTTTGAAAAAAAATAATAACCTTTAAAAACTAACTCCTAAGAAGTAAACAAATAGTTTTTAAATAACTAAATTTTTTAAAAATCAAAACTTTATTGGATAAATGTTACACAACATTCTTTAACATTTAATTCTGAGCATACTTAAGATGAGAAACAATATTTGTCATTCAAGTCTACAAAATGAAATAGGCTTGTGAAGATTTGAAATACAGACAAAAAGTAGCATGAAGCAAAGCTTAAATATTAAGCAACTAAAGCACTGAAAGCGAAACAGCAACACAATTATGTCTACATCTTAAATACCCGCGAGTTTCATTTTTTAAAAAATGAAAGCCTGGTTTGTAACAAAACATCTTTCAGAATCTGTCATGAGAAAAAAATGTTTACTATGACCTACCTGATCACTCCCAATTCTTTTGCCTTTACGTTATTGTTTCTTGGTCATTTCCATTACTCTGTACAAATAAGGAATTCTAAAGCTTGATTAAAAATCTTGATTATACAAAATCCAAGTGAAATTGCACCGTGGCTTGGGAGTGATCTGGTTCTCAAGTGAGCCTGGGAGGGCTGCTGGTGTTGTATCTGAAAGAACGAGACCGCGGAGCCAGAGCCCACTGACAACAGCGGGCAGGGCGCCACTGCAATGCATGTAATCTTTACAACTCCCTGCTGCTACAGTTCCTGAGCTGACCTTTTTGCAGAATTGCTAAAATGTTTAACTTGATGATAAGGAATTTCCCAAATAGACAATTTCAGAATGCAGTCAAAAGATGTAATAACTTGCAATGTAGTTAGGATTTGCATTAAGCTCAACAGAAGCAAGACTGCCTATACCTTTTCTTCTTGAGTTGTAAAACAATTCTTAGTCAAGTATACTAAATGTTCTAAAACTCTCAGCCCGGTAATCCAAGCCTACACAGGGTTATGGAAAGCTTGAAAACTTGAGCCAAATGCTCTGTTATCTTTATGTTGCTTCAAATGAACTTGAGGGTTTTCTTCATTTTTTGGTATTTTTCTTTTTTTGTAATAAGTAATCAATATGGACTATCTTTCTGGTTTAAAAAATAAATCAGTATTGCCACTAAAAAATTTCAGTTTTATTATTAAAAGTACGGCACCATCAAATATAAAATGTCTTAGAAATGTAGTACTAACAGGTCCATCTCATTTTCTTACTAATGTTTTCTCTATTCATTAAAAAGAAAAAGGTTTTCATAATATGTATTTACCAAAGACAAGGAAAAAAAGTTATGGTCTCTATTAATAAGAACTCATGCTCAATGCATGAAAAACTGGATGCTATCTTTATGGGTCTATTCCTGCCGCTTGTCCCTGGGGTCAAGTTTGACCTGACACCTGGGAGAACTTTTTGCACTTAGACAGAAGGAAGGGTTCTGTGTGGAGAGAGGTCTATGACAAAATTCAGGTGTTGCCATCTTTTCTGAAGTAGGTAAAATTGGTAAGGATAAGAGGGAATAAGAAATGCCTTTAAAGGTCAGTAGAAGAAAGAACTAGCTCTTGGAGTGTACATTTTCACTCCAAGGACAACAACGGCCTGTCCATTTTAATTCAGAATTTGAAAAATTGTAGTTATGAAAATGTGCACAAAATGTTAAATACTGGTGGCAAATAAATACATTTTAATATGTCCTAACAAGCAAACATATATTCAAGATAATACAGCACTGCTTTATTAAAGAAAGAAAAGATCTAAATTTTCTCTGGAAGATTGGATGGGGGCACTTTGCCATCCTTTTCATAGGACATTAACCTACTCCGTTGTTTCTACTGGCACCCTGAAGAAAACAGTGGCCTCAACATATATTGCTGTTTTCATAGACAAGCCATTTCAGAAACACATTTGCTCATATCTGAACTAACATAAACCTTAGAGAAAGTACGAAGTTTAAGTATGAAAAATAATTAAACATTTCTGCCATTATCCCATGCCTTTTAGGCCTGTCCAAACTGTTCTAAGAACTTCACATTCAAAAGAAGTTTCTGTCAATAATTCTTCATACATAAAACTCAAGTGAGCTCCTATATGTTATTTCATATCACTTTTGCCTTGTCTCATGCATGATTTATTGCAACAGTTTGGTTTTATTTATGAAATGTTCTAATACCTTTTCTTCAGTTTAATAGAGCAGAATCTGCAAGTGCCCCTTTATAGACTGTTGGTTTTAACTGCCCTTAACATTTACTTCTTAGAGCAGTTTTGAAAATTTGAGTCTCTCCAATTTCATTCAGTCCTGATGCTCTGCTGTTCTCTGTGTCATTGTGGTACAGGTCCATGAAACCAGCAGCCTGCTAATGTCTTTGTGCTGAAATACAGTAAAGAAAAGGAAGAAAATGGAGTTAAGCACAAGTAATTGCATGAGATAAATGAAGTCCTCATCATTTCAATGAAGCCCTCAATAAATTGTGGGGTCACACCTAACTTTTTTTAATCAAAATCAGTTAAACTTGACCAGTGTATGTATAAAAAACAACTTACTGCCACTGTATACCAACAAAAGCATCCGTGTTACTGCTGAAATATGTCTGGCCAAATTCCAACATAAGTAAGATGACTGTCACCTTCACAGTCAACCTATACTTGAGTGTATGTTGAAAAATACTTGTGTATTTATTATCTAACAAAAGGGGAATTTAAAAAATTTAATACTAAAATTTTGTTATTTTATGTTGCCATTTCACAGGTAAAATATAAAGCTTTCAGAGTCAGCTTAGCTACTATACAAGAACAAGCAGCCTTCCTCTTAAGAAGCCAGTTTAATTGTTTGGAGGCAAAAAAAAAAAAAAGAAGGTGGGGACCAGGTTTGCTGGTCCAATGGAGCCTGGTGTAACCACTGAGACTATGGCCCCTAGTTGCCCTTCAGGTCTGGAATTGAACCCACAACTGTGGTTTCCAGCCAAACAAAGTACAGGCATGTGAGT